GATGGACCACCGCCATTGCTCGTCCACAAAACCAGGAACGAAATGGTGCATATGACAACCACAACAGCGATCAATAGCCTCCCAATCATGCCCTTCACCGCTCCTGCTTGCTTCGCATGCTGCCGATTATAAAGCCCCGGTCTGCATCAAATCAATCAAAGAAAATTATGACTACTTGTATTTTGTTATCGGGAAAGTTCTGAATCGGAGCGAGAAAATGGTAGTTGATTTACCTTCGCATTGTTTGAGAAATTGAGCTTCTTTCTTACACAGTCCACTTCAACTGCCACTCTCTTTCTTTAATTTCGGTCATTGAATCTCTGAAAATACATCGGTGGCCTCTATTTATACCCAACTTTTTCATTAATTAACCCAGCTTAATATCTTGGTTTAGAATAGCTCAACTGGTTTAGGAGTGTAAGTTGGATTGAAAATTCCGAATCCGATCCTATAATTTTCAATTTTGGCAAGTTCAAATCAATTTTAATATCCGAAAGCACAAATTTATGTCTCACAAAAATTCTATACAAATAAAAATAAAACAGAATACAAAATATGAAAGAAGCATTTTGAACATGCATATCAGAACGAAAATTATTATTAAGGGCTTCAACGGTAAAAAAAATTTGAATTGGTGAGGGCTGACGTCAGCGTGACGTCACGCATGACGTCAGCGCCTTCGGGCTTCAGCCCAGGCAAGATCTGCCCGTGGGCTTGCCCAGGTACGTAGGACCCACCACTTGCCCAGGCTTCATTTCTTCCGCTGGAGCTGCAATGGGCTAGCCCGAGGGGCCTTTTGCCCGGTTTTGGTGCATGGCTGGAGGAGCTCTAAGTTTGTGTTCAAAAATCTGTTAGATTGTTGATGTGACACATTAAGTGAAACTCATATATGTGAATTAAATAAAAAAAATTCTAAAAATATGACTTATAGTTTTGTCTTTTAGTACATGTTTTGATTTTATTGGATATGCGAGTACCATCTGTGTGCCACGTCAAAATTTAACGTATTTTTGGACGGAAGCTTACGATATGGGCTATTTGTAAGCACCTATGTTAAACTTTGAAAATCAAACAAATGCAATTTGATAATTTTGTTAACTTTAGAGACATTAAAAAGGCTATTATTAAACGTTTTTTAGCCGAATGAAAAACGGACTTGACTTGCAGACAAGAGATTTGAAATCTCATGGCATCTTAGTTGTGTGTGTAAGAAATCCCCTTCCATTTAGTTTAGACTATCATTTGTATATAATCACCTATATTCCATGAAGACTATTTT